CCTCAGCAGCTCTCGCGCTGGCAAGTAGCACACAGTGAACCTGAAGCAGTACAGAGGAAGAAATCAATTTCATAAGAATTGTCCACATGCAGGCAGCAGTAAGTGGGGAAAAGGCAAAACAAGAGTTTTCACCTCTTCCCTTTGTGCTTATTGTGCAAGAACGAACAGACACAGGAAAATGTGAAAATCTGAATGTAGCATTTTGGTGTGCTATGTTTAGCCACTGTTCATAGCTGTCTTTATTATTATTACACAGTGATATACTCCAAAACGTGCTTTTGTTTGTGTTCCTTCACAGAAGGAGGCTTTGTAAAGTGGCAACAATTTTGTGTGCCACAATTTCCCTTCAGAGCTGCTAAGTTGCCACTGGTACTGCTGACATATAATTCACCAGTAATGACAAAAAGGTTTACTAGTCATATAGCAAGACATTTCAGAAGTAGGTCTCATCCAAATCTGTTAGGTGATTACTTTTTGGTGGTGGCAGGGTATTTTTCTTTAAAAAGTTGGTGTGAAATAGAATACACTTAGAAATAAAAGGAGGCATTACAGATACCAGGAATGGGATTCAAATTGGCTCAAATAAATAAGAGACATAGTCCTACACAAACAAGTCAAAATGTAATAAAAATGTGGACAAGGAGTTTTAGAATTACAATGGAATTAAAAAATTAATTACAATTAATTAAAAAATTAATTAATTACTCTTCCTTAAAAAGCAAAAAAAATAGGCCAATAATCTGGCAGGCCCTAGCAAACAAAAACAATCTAGAATAAAGGAGGTTTGTAGAGATGTATGATACATATTTGTGTATTGATACAGATTTTTATTCTTTTTTAATTCAGCTTGGTTTTGATTAGGGCTCTGAGAATCTTGAGTACAGGAAGTCTAACAGATGCAGGCAGAAGTGCACAGAGAAGTGACAAGCCTGATAAGGGCTGAGAAAAATGATCTGTGAAGAAAGACTAAATGAGTTAGGCTTGTTTATCTAATAGCAAGAAAACTAAGGGTAAAGTGTTGACCATTTGCATTTCAAATATATCTTTTTATCAAAGTATTATACTAAGAATATTCTTCTAAATGTCAATGTTTTCTTTGTTTTGTGAGAGTGCTCAATCATGACTTTCTATAGCGCATATGTTAGTTTACAAAGATATTGATGAATAGTTGGTTCTCCGTGCCCAACAAAGGACAAAACAAAATCAACATAACTCACTGTGCAAAAACCTTAGGGAAAATTCAGAAGAACTGTCTTACCCTTCAGGTTATGAATTGCTAGGACAGGCTACCAAAAATCCCCCCCTGCATAATCTCCTTCACTGATGAAGTTGGTGGAACAGCTGCAAAGGATGGCTGATATTTACTTTACCTGGCCTGAGAGAAGTGACTAGGGATCTGCTGAAGTTTTCTCCAGCCCTACATTTCAACAGATAAGGAAGGAAGTAGTTAGTCTGAAGGGTTCCACTACTTCTTAATGCTTCTTCACTTACAGTTTTATGGAAAGCCAGTTCCCTCCTGGACTTCTTATTGGTGATGGTAATGTTGTATTCATCTTTATAATAGAAAAGATAGATACAGACAGAAATGTGTGCAGAAATTGAAGCGGTCTCTGTTCAGAGTCTGCACAGTCAGGACAGACACAGGATAAAGGGAAAGCATCAAAATAGATGTTTTCCCCAGTTTCCTTCTCTATCTTTTATTTTCCTTTGGTCTTGGAACAATAACATCCAATGTTTCCCAGCAGATTTCCCCCTATATCTGAGATCCTTTCCCACTAGCTTTTCTTATCCAGAACTTGCACGTGTTTGCTTGAAGTCTAGCTAAAGTGGCTGTAATATTGGGGAGAGAGGGTTCCTATGGACATGACCTATCCTTGTCTAAAATCTGTATATAACCCATCTTCATAAAATAGTTGATCGAGATTTGAAGACACAGGACAGTGTGTCTCAGATGCTTTCAAAATAATCTTAGAAAACCAGCATGGCTCCAAAATCCTTGTGAAGATATGCTATCACCAGTTTAATCTTATCTTGCACTATGCCTAAGAACGTCTGAAAATGGATGCCAAATTGCTGCAATTATTAGTACCTATAAAATTGTTTTTAAAAAGTAATACATTGCAAACTGTTAGGTTGTATTCATAGTTTCAATCTTCTATCAAGATGGGAACAGGCTACGCAATTTTGAACTTCTATGTTAAAATCATTCATAGAGTTAAAAGTACCCACTTGTTTTGGCTCTACCAACATCAAATACATCTCTCTCCCTGACACTAGCAAAATTAGTATGAACCTAAAAAATTACAGTTATATCGTCTCTAACTTTTTGGAAATATTTTTATTCTACTGTTCATTCTTTGACATAAACAAATAGCAGTACCCAGTACTTTTTACAAGAGTAGGCAAAGCATCATCACTACTAAATATTTTCCTCTGTAAGTTTACAATGGTCTTGCTGATTGTGGACATATCACTGAAGTTTACAATTGCCACCAAGTATTTGTGGATCACTGTTCATAACTGTACAAATATTAAAATCTGTTATTTGAGAAAGGGCCCATCTCAAAATGTCTCTACAACAGTCAATTTAATATTTTGAGTGACAACTTTATTTCAAAGTTGCTCTTTTCTTTGGGTTGGTTTTTGTTTGTTTGTTTGTGTTGCTGTGGGTTTTTTTAATGCAGAAAGTAATCTGATTTCATGAAATAAACATTTATTTTCTGCTAGATGGTACTGGATGCCAACTTGCAACTTTTATCTAAACTATATCGCATCTCCAAAGATGTGAGGCTGTTTGTAAAAATCTGACTGGAACCATAAGCAGAGAAAAGTTTGTACATATAAAGCAGTAAAAGAATAAAAAGTCAAATAAATATTAATGTGGAAGGTAAATATGCACTACAGTTGTTTTTCCTTGAAAGAACAGCATGAGGTCAACACTTGTGATTTTATAATTGCAAAGAATGTAAAGAAGAAATTTTGCCATAAATTTACCATGTGGCATTTACATAGATATGTGAAAGGAACTCCTTAGGAAAAGCTGAATGCAGAGAGTCTCTGTCTCTGTTTTTGCTTTAAAACAGTAACGCAAAATTATCAGTATGAACAAGCTCAAGTTAAACAAACAGTTATTTATACATGTGCTTATGTTATATTCCTTTGGGTGGTCCAGCTTCCATCTGTGAAACTATTCATGCTAATAGAGTTAAGCACGTGTACTCACAGGAAGAGACTGTGAGGTCTGATAAATAAATTCTATTATGTAATATCTGATAAAGTTGTTTTTACACCAGTATCAAACTTAGAGACAAGGAACACACATTACTGGGCCAGATCTGAGTTCACTGTCCTGTTACAACTGACTAGTGCTAGATGCTTCAGGGAAATTTATATGCACACCATAATGGGAGATATGGGATCATTTTTGCTCACAGTAGCCTTTTATCTCATTAAATCCTTGACTCCAAAGCATTTCCAAGTCAGCAAATTCCATAATCCACAGTGGGTTGCTTTTGTTGGTTTTTTTTTCCCAAAAAAACCAGATAATGGAAACCAGAAACTTCCTTTTAGCCATTCTAAATTTGCCACCTTCTCCTCTGTAGGAGGACATCCTCATAATTTTCTGTTATCAAATTGTGTAGTCATTCTAAACTTAACGTACCTGTTCCAGATGCCCAGACACACTTATCAGGGCACATTAGTTTGCCTACTTTCTCAATTTTTCTTTTTTTTTAATCATTCTTCATGCAAGCACTGAATTTTAAGGGGTTGGAATAGACCTTAAAGATCATCTAGTCCCAACCCCCCCCCCCCATGTCCAGGACACCTTCCACTAGACCAAGTTGCTCAAGGTTTTATCCAGCCTGGCCTTGAATACTGCCAGGGTTGGGGCAACTTGTTCCAGTATTTCTTCATAATTATCTAAGTCAAATTTCCCCTCTTTCATGTGTACCCATTCCCCCTTGTCCAACCACTACAGGTCCTGATGGAAAGTCCCTGCCTGGCTTCCCTGTAGGCCCTCTTCAGATACTAGAAGGCTGCTTTGACATCTTCACATCACCTCTTTTTCTCCAATATTAATGTATAATGAAACAATTTTTTTAATTATTTCTGGCTTGTTAAATTTGTCTGGGCTGCAAATGAATTGCTTAGTGATTGTTCAGGTCCAGTTTCTTTGCAAGTAGCATTGAACTAATGGAACTGTGTTTTTTCAAGGCATATTATTTATATTTGTTGACATCAAGCTTCATTTGAAAAGTGCCCATCTGCCTCTGAAGCGCCTCAAAGCTGTCTTGCTCTAAGATGCAGGAAGCCGTCAAGACTCGTGCAAATGTAACAAAAACTTTTAAAGTTGGAGTTCAGTTTAAGAGCAGCGTCCAAGTAACAGTTCAGGTTTAGATGTTTCCTGTGCCCGGTTCTCGTTTCGCTGTGTGACGGCCGCCCTAGCCCGGCACCAGCAGCTGCTGGAGGTGGCCCTGAGGTCTCCGGGCACCTCGGCACCCGCTGACCCGGCCCAGGGGATCGGCCATCGCCATGCCACTTGTCCCTTTCTTCATCTGTACCCGCAACTTTCCACATCTGCTTGGTTTTGCCGGTTTTAAGTTTTTTTTCTCCCCTTCTGAAACGTGAAGGGCCGCGTTAGGAGCCTTCGGGAGGTCTGAGCTGCCGCTGTGAAGCGCTGGAAGGGACGGACCAGCGCCGTCGCGACTCCCTCCCGCCGTGCTCCCCGCGAGGCAGCAGCGGGAACGCACCCCAGCTTCCAGCCCTCGCAGCACCTCGGCTGCCTCCCAGTCCCTTTTCCCGCTCCCCTCAGGGACTTTTCCTCCCTCAGGACGGAGCCCCGCCATCCACTCGCAGGTTACGCGCCTTCCCGCCGCTCCTGCGCATGCTCCAGGCCCGGCGGGGCCGAGCAGGAGGTGGGGAAGCGCCTTTGCAAGGGAGAGCGCGGTGCGCGCGCATGCGCCATGGGGGGGGGGGGGGGGGGGGGGCAGGCGGCTGCGCGTGCGCGCTGTGCAGAGTAGGGCGAGGGTCTGGCGGCGGGAGCGCGGAGCGGCCGTAAGAGCCCCGGCGGGGCCGCGCCTGAGTCCGGGACAGCGAGGAGATCCCCCTCCGGGGCACGGGGACCGCCAGGATGAGGCTGGTGAGGAAGGACCTGGAGAAGGACAACGCAGGGCAGGTGACGCTGATCCCCGAGGAGCCCGAGGACATGTGGCACACGTACAACCTGCTGCAGGTCGGGGACAGCCTGCGCGCCTCCACCATCCGCAAGGTGCAGACTGAGTCGGCTACGGGCAGCGTGGGCAGCAACCGCGTCCGCACCACGCTCACCCTCTGCGTGGAGGCCATTGATTTCGACTCGCAGGCCTGCCAGCTGCGCGTCAAGGGCACCAACATCCAGGAGAATGAGTACGTCAAGATGGGCGCCTACCACACCATCGAACTGGAGCCCAACCGGCAGTTCACGCTGGCCAAGAAGCAGTGGGACAGCGTGGTGCTGGAGCGCATCGAGCAGGCCTGCGACCCGGCCTGGAGCGCCGACGTGGCCGCCGTGGTCATGCAGGAGGGGCTGGCCCACGTCTGCCTGGTCACCCCCAGCATGACGCTTACCCGCGCCAAGGTGGAGGTGAACATCCCCCGGAAGAGGAAAGGGAACTGCAGCCAGCACGACCGCGCTCTGGAGAGGTTCTACGAGCAGGTGGTGCAGGCCATCCAGCGGCACATCAACTTCGAGGTGGTGAAGTGCGTCCTGGTCGCAAGCCCGGGCTTCGTGCGGGAACAGTTCTGTGACTACATGTTCCAGCAGGCAGTCAAGACTGACAATAAACTTCTACTGGAGAACAGGTCCAAGTTCCTACAGGTAAGGTGCTAACAGGAGTGGGTGAAAACGGGCTTGAGAGTTGTCTGTCTGTGATAGTAAAAGGTAGTCACACAGGAAATAAGGCTCTTACTAGACAAAATAAATTTCTGACTGAGCATCATAAGGAAATTATTCTCATGCCTCTCAAATTGTAAGGTAGTTATGCGTGATACAGGGATGGTTCCCCCCCTAGGATACCTTAATGTGGAGTAGAGAAAGTATTAAATATATCGAACTCCCTATAAAGGCATATTTATATGAATATAGATAATGTAAAGTGTGAAGTACAAATTGGAAAATACTTTAACTGTGCTGTTACTCTGTCATGCTGTATAGTGTGCACGTTTAATAACAGCTTTGTAGAGATGTTTTTTAAAAAGTACCTGGATGTGGTATAGGTTAGTTAACTTTGTTGTTAGTCTTGTATTGAAGGTTATGCAGATCATGGCATTTTTTCCCATTTCTTCATCATCTCATTGATTGAGTGGGCGGGGGTTTTAGCCTTTAATGAAGTGGGCAAATTCAGAGCTTAAAATGAGTTTTCATAAGGATACTTGTATAATTTTTAAGTTGGAGTAGGTGTGTCCCAATACTTAATGGTCCCAGCGTTAGAAGACCAGTGCCCCAAGAAACCTCCTTTTGCATTTGTAGTATGGAAGTAATAGTATGTGTGAGAAGTTTCAATGTACTTCACAATTTTGCAAGCATAATAGCTGTGCAGCTGTGCAAGACTCAATGCCTTTGCACTATATCCCTGCAGTCTTAAGAGGCCTTTTCTGGCATGCTTTAAAACGGAGAGGCTTAGATCTTAGTTTCTTAGTTTCAAGTAGCCCTCCCTTGGGGTGAGCATATTTAATGCAGTCTTTGAATAAGTGAAACAGTTTTCTTTTGCTCTTCTTGAAGTGCAGTTTAAGGGATTTGGTGTAGGTTCTGGGTTGCAGGAGAGATCCCTTAAGAAAAGAATCTTGTATGTTTCAAGAAGGAGGTAACTTCCTCAAGTAACTGTCAAAGTTATTGTTATGTATAGTGGAAGATATTTGTGATTGGCTAATCAAAAAAATGGTCCTTTTTCTTTGAAAACACCAAACCTCTGACTTTGTTTTCGCTCTAGGTCCACTCTTCCTCAGGACATAAATACGCTTTGAAGGAAGCACTCTGCGACCCAGCCGTAACCAGCCGCCTTTCTGACACTAAGGCAGCTGGTGAGGTCAAAGCCCTAGATGACTTCTATAAAATGCTGCAGCATGAGCCTGACCGAGCTTTTTATGGCCTGAAACATGTGGAAAAGGCCAATGAAGCCATGGCCATTGATACCCTGCTGATCAGTGATGAGCTTTTTCGGCACCAGGATGTGGCTACCCGTGCCCGATATGTTAAGTTAGTAGACAGTGTGCGGGAGAACATGGGCACAGTGCGCATTTTCTCCAGCCTTCATGTGTCTGGAGAGCAGCTTGGCCAGCTGACAGGGGTGGCAGCCATCCTGCGCTTTCCTGTGGCTGAGCTCTCTGACCAGGAGGATGAGTCTAGCTCTGAAGAGGATTGATGACAGTGACTTCATTCCACGGTTTCTTTTCCATGTCATGCTGAAATGACATTGAAGGCGCTCCCTTCCTAAATACTGTGTGCAGATGTTCCATGACATGTAATTATAAGTTTTCAGTAGTATACACATAAAGTATGTAGCTCTGCTGAGCACACTACTTGATATCTGTTCTATAATGCGTGTTGAAGCAGACTGGTTTTTGCAAGTTACATCGCAAACCTCCAGCAGTGTAAGAAACCAATCTGGCTCCCCAAAGCTGCTTAGTCTGTATATTAAGGCAGACTGGTAGCTTAGTGGAGTGTTTATGAAAAAATAATAAACTAAGAGGGAGAAATTCGTGTCAGACTATTTCTGTTCAAGTGCTTGAAAAGACTATTGAAAAACAAGTGTAAACTTCTTCAGGCAAGACTTATCAAAACTGTGCTTGATCTTAGGAAGTTGCCATTCTTCCTAGAATGTGTCAAGGGAATGGGGTCAGCATCATTTCTAAGGGCTTTTTGTGGTGTTATGAGTCTAACCACTTAAATATTTCTGTGAAACACTTGAAGCAGTCTTTCAGAAATCAGATCCTTTAAGTTTTTCCCTTTTCCTGTAAGAGAAATGGTGACTTTCAGTCACACACTTAAGTTACCTTTTTGAATCCTGTTACCTTGTGAGATTGTCCTAAAGGCTAACAAGGTATCATTGACTGTATTTTGCTAAATTGGCATTTTTTAGCAACCAGTTCTGAGAAAGTGTATGAAAAGGCTTACAAAAGCTGGACCCTAGTTTCCATGAGGAATCTTTTGACAACAAACACTTTAGTTAATGTCATAATCTGGTGATGATGATGATGATGATGATGATGATGAATCTGGTATTTTTCTGTTTAAGTACCTCTTTAAAAACACACATAAGCTGTGATACAGAAATTAAGGTTATGAAATTATAAATCAGATTTCATCCTAAAATAATGGCAACTGTAAAAGTCAGAATTACTTCTTCAGTTATTAGATCTGCTCAAAGTATTGAGAGCCACAAAGAGTTTTGTTTCTTCACTAGGCAATAAATCTTAGGCTGAGGAAGCAGAAATTGTTTTCAGATTCAGATATAACCTGTGAGGGAATTGTTTCAAACCAATGTTTGATGATGTGGTTTCTGTGTGTAAATAAGGATTCCTTTTTTAAATGTGGTGGAAGGTGGAGAACAGGAGCTGTGGAAGACTTCTGAAATATGGAAAGTGACATAACAGTGGAACTTTAAAAAAATAAAACCACTGAAACTCTTAGTCTGGGTATAATAGTTTTAAGAAATCATTTTTAAGGGTAGTCCCATATGTTGATGGGTACCAGTCCTCTGCAGTTAATACTATTTATTGTTAGCTGAAAACTCAGCCTAAACTTCTTAATACAGAAGTGCTTTTGAGTTAAAAGCCATCTTCCCTCTTCCCACCATCCACACAATCTTAAGGAATTCATGAACAGAAATTATATTAGAGCTGTAGCCTTCTTTCTCTGAAGACAAGCAAGCCCATTGAAACAATTGTTTACATTGTTTACATTTACATTCACTTCCATTCAAATTTGTAGTACACCACAAATTCATAGTTTATTTCTCAGCAAACTGAGAGACAGATCAAACTGTCCTTTGGTTGTGGAATGGATTGCTGTTTTACCAGACCAAACTGGTTCCACTTATTCCATTTTAAGCCAGAAATTATGAAGAGTTTTTGCTGCACTGCAAAATTACAATGGCAGTTTTGTGTTTAGTACCTGTAGTGTATCATCCAGGAAAAGAAGCAGCCATTTTGTTGCATATTTGTTCTAAGGTAGAACTGCAAACATCTGGTAAGAAAACGTGAAAATAGTGATTCTTTGAATTGTTTACACTTAGAGTTAAAATTCTGTCCTGACTTTACATTTTGTGTATTTTTATTTTTTTAGCTATTCCTATCATGTCACTAAGTCTCTGAAAGAAATACATGTGGACTTGCCCAAAGTATGGAAGGGTGGGACTTTTTTTTTTTTCTGGTAGCCATTTTTGTAGTAAAATAAATATACAATTACTATGTATACAAATGCATCCTGTTTCAGGAAACAGCTTAAGGGCTTGGTATTGAAAGTAGGCTGTGTTTAGTAGTTGCAGATGCTTGACCTGGCCAAGTTCCAGAGTCGCTAGTATATTTCACATTTCAAGGAATTTTGATTAGTTGAAAAGTCTATATTGACAGACTTTCTTAATGCGGACCTTAGCACATGTGCTCAGATGACACTTTCACAGAAGAGGGATGCTATCTGTAGATTAAAGGAGGAAGTGCTAGAGCCATGGGAAAATATTTTTGTGTCCATTGTTTGAAACTAAAGGTGCATGAACTGAAAACAGTATTTAATGATTTTGAAGTGTCTCAGTTTAGTTTCTGATTACTTTCTGACATAATTCTGTGAATTAGTAATACAGTTTAGCTTCCAGTTTTTCACTTTTCAAAGTAAATGAATACACATTGTAGGATTTCTTAAAGCTTGTTACATTTGGTAGGAAGAAAGCTTTAAAAAGTGAAATCAGATTGATACTGAACCCTGCTGTGCTCTACAGTGATGCCAATAAATTTATTTTAGACCATAATGCCTCTCTTGCAAACTTGTACTTTGGAGCAGGCCCCAGTTTATTTTGTCATTTCTGGTATTTGAATCTGTTTATCATTATATAATTTTTTGTGGTTGTTTACCAACTAAAGTTTGGTGCAAAATGTGAGGTCACCACCAGCTACAGACCAAAATAATCCTATTAGTTAAAAGCAAAATAAAAGATTAATCTTCCAGTAAAACTTCAAGGCATTCAGCAGTATTTGATCTAGGGAATTCCTCATCTCTCTCGTTTTGTCTTCACCCTGTGTAAGTAAAATGCTAGTAGTAAATTATCTTTGGACCACTCCCTGACCACCACTGTAACAAGAGCCCATAGCTCTTCAGCTTAATTTGTGATGGGACTAGGCTTGATGGTTTTAAAGCCATGTGAATAAATGTCTGAGGTAATTTTCATTAGCTACTGTTCTCTCATAGGTTAAGTAGCCCTGAATTTTAAAATTCCATTTGAAAATCTCGGTTTAACTTCTGGGCTGCTGACCTTGGTTTGCCTATTTCTGTGGAGGTATATTATACCTCACTTCTCATTTGACTGATTTATGTCTTGATCCTCTCGAGTTTTCTTTCTGTAAGCTGCATTATCCATCTGGGAAAGTGTGCCTCTATGCATGTGATCTCTTGTAGATCACCTATTCCATTCAATTTTTTTTGAGATTTTCATAGCTTTATTTTTAAAGAAAACAAGCCTGTTTCATACAGGAGTACTTACCTAGTTTTGCAGGAAAGAAGAAAAAACAACCACATATTCTCAGAATGTTTATGCTGGTTTTTTATGTGAAGGCACATTTCTACAGTGTGTGGTCATTTTCTTCTACAAAAGATCTGAGAAAGCAATTTTTAAAATGTGGAACAGCAATTAGAAAATCTGCAATTAGGAATCCTTGTTTATAACATAAAATTAGAATTCCTGCAAGACACATAATAACAAAAAAATGAAGGAATGACTTCAAAAAACTACTTATCTATGTACTTTTTAGATACAGCACAACTTCAGACTTGTTTTTTTTCCTCGCTCTCTGATATACCAGTTGCTTTTATCAGTTCCCCAACCCCCCCTTTTTTTAAAAAAAAAATATTTCTTTTAGAATTAAGTTCTTAAAGGAGCTAGGTGCATCTGAGGTGGTCTAGGTGGTTAAAAAAAAGTTTCTTCAAGCTCTGCTAATGCGGGAAATGATACAGATCTGGCAATCATTCCCTTCTCAGTTCTTGTTCACTATATATCTGTAACTTGTTACAAGGTGAATGATGAAAGTTTTGATTCTTTAAGAACTTAGGATTTCTTAGTTCTGGTTTGATTTAGCAGATAGTATGCAGAGAACGGTTGACAGAGCTTTATTAGATTATTTTTCAGTATCTCTGTTTCTTTTGTAAGAGTCACAACGTGCTTTTAGAGACTGTTTTAATGAGATTTTGTATGGAGAAATAGTATTTTGAAAACTCATTGTTCTGCTAATTTAGGGTTAAGAAAATGCTTAACTAGTTTGGTCTTGTGATTATTACTGCGATTCTTAAATCAGGCTCTGACGTGGGTTGAGCCTGAGCTTTTTCAGCAGTAGAAAGAGTAAACATAGGCTGTGGAGCTTCTTGTGTGACAGTTGCCCAAAGACTTGCTGAATAAGTGTAATGTTTAGTCCTGCTACATTTTTTATGCTTGACTCAAGTAGGGCATTGACTTGGATTTGAGGATAACTGCTTGCATGATAGAGAATATAAAGGAAAAAAACATCTTCAGTCTAACAACGAAACTGCACATGCTCTGTGAATTTCTGAACTTGACTGTTTTAGAAATCCAGTATAGCTTTTCTGTGAAAAAACTGTCTCCTAAGGTGCCTTAGCCTAAAATAAAGCATGAGGAAAAGGTCTCTGAAATTATACTCTGTTGTCTGAAAATAATTCTTCCTTTTGTCCCACTTAAGGGCTGTACAAGAAACAGAGTGGGGACTGGTGTAAGAGCAGCCCTTTCTTCCAAGTCAGTGTCTTCTGGGAAATGCAACATGAAGCAGCAACTTTCAAACCCTGCCAGCTCTTGTCAGCTTTTGCTGTATCAGTCTCTAATTTATTGCCATCTTCTCACAGCTAATGTAATTGCTGTCATGCTGCTCTAATAATTACTTAAAAGTCAAATTAGAACTGATAATGAATCCTCTGGTGAAATAACTGTTCCATTAGAGAATGTTAATTAGTTGAAACCAGCCCTCCTTTTTAGGAATGTACATACCAGACTTGATGGGAAGTGTTTTCTCTGGTCCAAAATGGAATTTCTAGTCAAAGCCAAGCCTGGAATAGTAAAAAAAGAGCCTAAGGGCTCTAAGGAGTCATATGGAACAGAAGATAACACAGTTTAAGACCGTTTTCTGTTCCATAGTTAACACTAGGCTAAAGGTGCTCCCTTTTCTGTCATTGTGTCATTGGTAAGTAGAACTCCTTGTTGTCTAAGCAAAAAATTATATTTTGTCTGAGATAGCTAAGTTACAACTGCCTCAGATATGACACCTCTTGGGATGAGGGAGGCAATTTTCAGACTTTTGATCTGAACTTGACAGGAAAATAATTGAAAGCTGAGTCTCTTCCTATCTAATACACTTCTGATGTAGCCTTCAAGTTTCAGTAAAAAACGCCCTGAGTTCTGTGTTTAAAAAAGATTTTGTACTAGGTGGCTAACAGCAAATCTGCTTTTGAAGACAGGCGTATTATTTCCCATGCAGCCTTTTTC